AAGTAGATCTCGTTACTCAGCTTCCAGAGCGGCGAGAGAGACGGCGCAGGTAAGTGAGGGTGAAAAGAGAGTAAATGATAGTGCAGATCACTTCAAGCAGCAGCCTCTCACTGGCGGGTCAGGCAGCAGCCGCTCATTGGGGGGTCAGGCAGCAACCTCTCATTCGCAGATCAGGTAGCGGCCTTTGATTGGGAGATCAGGTAGCATCTACTCATTCGCTAATCAAATAGCAGCCCCTCATTTGCTGATCCTGCACTCTCTTCCCATTGGCCTATCAGGCAATGGCCACTCATTGGTTGATCAGGGACTCTCTACTCATTGGGAGATCATTCGCATAGTGCATTCGCAGCAGGCATTTCAACCCCCCCACTCCCCTGCTGGTCGCTGAGGACCTCGGAAGCGGGCACAACGAGTGACAAACGATGTTGCCCTTGGCTTCAGCGAGCGGCAGGCAACCCCTCCCCGGGTTTCCTCACAACTTTGGCGCCGTTGCCGGGGAGGGGATTGCACCCCCAAGGCCGCGGCCTTCCCCAATCAACGGGGGTGCAAAAGCAAAACTAATTAACTTTTAAAAAGTTGATTAGTTGATTTTTTTTAATTTTTCTTTGATCTTGTACTTTGTTTTTTTCCATTATCTCCCGATCCTCGCGCTTTCGCGCGAGCCGCATTGGGAGCAAAGTTCGTCCTCTCGTCGAGGCGAACTTTTTGAAATATTTTTGGAAAAATTCTAACAGCTAGAAAAAGAGATATGGATTTTTTTGTATTTTTTTAATTAAAAATTCCAAAAATCACTAGTTGTATTTCTAATTCGTTTTTTCCCGATATCTCCCGATCCGCGCGCTTTCGCGCGAGCCGCACTGAGAGCAAAATTCGTCCTCTCGTCGAGGCGAACGTTTTGAAATATTTTTTGAAAAATTCTAACGGCTAGAAGAAGGGATATGAAATTTCTTGTATTTTTGTAATTAAAAATTCTAAAGATCACGAGTTTCCTTTTATTTTTATTGCGAAGAAAAGAAGCGGAATTAGGGGAACCCCGCCCGAACCAAAGTTGGTCCTTGTATTTTTCCCGACATTTTGGGAACCTAGTCGGGGAAAACGGACTTCGTGTGGGCAAACGGCGGGCACCAACAGATAGAAAGGGGCGAAAGAAAATCAAGGAAAGTTTGAATTCCTTTAAAAATGCAATCCGATAAGTTTTTCTTCTAAACCTAGTGAAAGCTTACAAAAATTTTCTCGCGTCGAACGGGGCTTTGCGGTGTGCGTGCGGTTGCGCGAAACACTCAAAACCCTAATGAGGGGGGACCCTAATTAAGTTAAAACCCTAATTAGGGTAAAGTCCTAACCCCAATTTTGAGAAAAGCGGGTAAATAGAGGGAAGCCATAGCTTCTAGCCCCCGTGTTTGTTGGGGATTATTTTTCGCTAATTATATTCCGCAAAATTGTGAAAATTAATTCGGGAAATTTTGCTCCATTAAATAATTAAAAATTAAATAAAAATAATAAAAATCAGTAAAAATTCAAACGGCCGAGATTTCGATTTTGTTTATTTTTCTTTTTTTTCTTCTCTCTTTCTTAATCAAGGGAAAATCTTCCGAACCCCATCCCAACGGGGGGAGGGAATACGACAGTTTGCTGATAGAGGTGTTCCCCCATCCCACCCGCCCTTCTCACTAAGCTTTTTGCATACTGCAAGGTGTCGCTGATCAGGGTTGCGGCCCTCCCGCCCACCTCTTCTCTTAGGCTCTGCTAACCAAAATTTGTGACGCTCCCGGACAACTCAAAATTGATCCGGGCTGTCGCCCGTAAGCTCTAATTTCAAGCCAGCCCAACGCCCCAACTGAAGAAGTTCCTAGCGTAGTTGTTAGGACATAAGAGACTGTTCACAAATAGGTCCGGGCTGCCAGATCTCTTTGACGACTCTCACATTAGGACGGAGCTCTATCTCGTCGTGATGGATGGAAGGGCATCATGGACTGTGCCGACAGATCCAGTAGGCTGGAGACATGAGAGAGTAGTTCATCATAGGTCCGGGTTGGATGAGTGATTCTAGCTAGTTCAACGTTCGTTCAGTGTGAAACACAGACTTGTAGTTCTGAGGATAGTTAGACGGCCCTACCCGGACTTATTCATTAGGTCCGGGCTCCAAAGGAGCCACTTACACCAGGTATGGAGTCCGACACCATGGGAGTTCATGTAGATACGGGAGAGTATCACCCGTCGCCCGGCCGAACCCTTCGCGAGCTCAAGGAGCGCATTCGACAGCACGCGCCTCTCGGATGTGCAGAGCGACCCGACGATGGAGAGCCCGCAGTAATGGGCGGGCCCGTCGTTACCGAGTCTGAAAGACCGTCGTCGAAGATACGGATGAAGAACATAACGGAGTCTCCCAGTTTTCAGGGAGAGACGGACGATCGGAGCTCATCTGCCTACGAGCGGAGAGACGCTAGAGAGGACCGATGCAGAGATGACTGGAGAGATCAGTGCGTCAGGGATCAGGCTTGGAGAGATAGAGATAGGCCTCATGAGAAGAGCAGGCCGCCTCAACGCATCTACGATCCGCAGACGGGCGAGTCGTATACACTCCCTTACGGAAGGAGGGATCGATTCATCATCTCTCACCAACCGACAGAGTTAGATACCAGACCACCCGTCTTCAAGGGATACGGTATCACTGATTATCTCGAGAAGTGGGAGCTACACGAGAGCCACAGCCAGTGGTGCGAGGATGAGTTTATAGATAATTTTTTGTTTAACTCGAACCCGAGCCTGAACCAGATAATCAAAGAAGCTCGACCAAAGGACAGAAAGTGGACTACCTATAAGACTAGTCTTTACGAACTCTTCAAGTTAGAAGACATCAGATACTCGATCGAGGATCTGGAGTCGATGACGCAGGGAGAGGACGAGAGTGTTCAGGCGTTCGGAAAACGCTTCCAAAAGATATCGGATGCCCTGATCGAAAAGGGAAAGTTGTCGGAAGTTGATCGATGCACGATTTTCATATGTTGACTGCCCAGAGGGAAACAGAAGGGGATACTTAGGGAACTCCCTCATGATAAGCTAGATTTTTCGACGGTTCTCGAGTTGGCAATGAAACCTGGAGTAGATGACTATAAGGATTTACTGTGGAGAGGAATGCAGCGTCGGGACTTTTCCCTGTATCGCGAGTACGAGACCGATAGGTGTCCAGACTTTAACGATCAACAATGGGCAGAGCGGCGATATTTGATGGACAGAGACAGACCGCAACGACCTAGGGACAACGAGACGGTGATAGACGAGATGAGGGAGATGATCAAGGTTTTGGCTCGACAGGTTGCGAGTATAGAGGCGAAGACGGAGACTGTTGGTTATAAGGCGAGGTACGAATCGTTGAACTCACTGAGGTGCGATCGAGTTAGGACTGGTTCAACATACTCGCTAAGGTGGGATAATCGCTACTCAGGATCATGGAGAGACGCCGGGGACAGAAACCCCCGGACACTGGCCGATTATCGAGCGAAGGAGCAACGGTATCTTATACGTCGCGACGATTCCTCTAGGTACCACGGTGAGGATCGAGATCGACAGGTTGCTCATCCTAGAGACTATACGAGAGATAGGGACAACGAGTATCGGCGACATGGTTGGGTGGAGACCTACCCTCACAGCCCAAGGTATGATCGAGGTCCTGAAGACCTCCCGAATGCAGAGGAGTATCTTAAGACTCTAGATAGGTATGACCATGTGAAGGCGAGAGACCGACACAACAATTCCCGCGAGCGGGATGAGAGGGGATATGTTGATCTGGACTATCGCAATGATGCCAGACAAGAGTCTGGCCTGCGTCCTCATGACATACGGGTATCAGGCGGACACGAAGGATACAGACGTGTAGAGGCTCAACCTTCTTCTCCTCGTAACACATGCGTCTGCTGCTGTTCGGATGATCATATCGGAAGAGATTGCCCTGATCTTCAGAAGGCAATAGACTATGGCATAGTGAGACTTAGGRACCGATGGTGCGTCAAKAGAAACGACGATCKGAGAGATGCATCCGTTTTTCCTTCGAAGAACGACGACGTCGAGGTCAGACGAGCGTCGTCGGACGAGGTAGAGGCGATCCCAAAGAGTCGGAGTGTCAGGATTTTCTTACCATCGGTAGCCAAGACGCCTATAGTGTCCAACCGCGTCGCCTCTACCAAATCATCGTGAGCTCTTCTCTCGAAGGAGAGGGTTGTCCCAGAGGATCAAGAGGGAGAGGAAGAGGAGCAAAAACGAGAGTTCGAGGGAGTTGCTGAAACAGTGACAACGCCCTTGAGGCAAACACTTAGCCAGTGTATGCGAAGTTTCATACGGGAAACGCCCAAGCGAACGCAAGATGAACCTACGATTCTTATCGATCCCGAGCGAGGAAAACCGATACCTTTGACCGATGAGATCTTCGCTGATTCTAGGTCGTTAGCGGACAAGCCCCTTGCTGACGTCGTTCCAATCGCACATCAGTCACGGCCTCGAGCGTTAGAGCGGACTGTACCACGACTGTTTTCTTTGATGCGCGAGAGAGCGTGCCTCGTGACGTCTTCTACATTCCTGGAAGTGGTATCAGGGGGACTCTGCTTGACGATCAGGTGGTTCCTCGTGGAGTAGTGGATAACGTGAGAGATTGCCGAGCCATGTAAGCACCGACATGAGGAGTCGCGCGTGTATGGTCATTATAAATCTTATACGATTTGTCTGTCTGAAATGATGCGGGCTTGACGGGGGCGTCGAGAAGTGATCCGGGCTAACTGTCAGGCGGCCACAAGCAGTGCGGCGCCTGAAATCTGCGGCTTTGGGGCTTAGGCTCAGGGACAAGTCCGTGTTTTGACGGTACTCTAGTATGAACAGGCAGCAGAAACTAGGGGAGCTTAGGGCACCCCTGATTTTGGGCGCACTAAACCTTACGAGTAACCCTCAAAGATGGCGAGATGGGTGGCCACACTCGGCGCATCTAGGGACCGTCATTTCCGACCGTTCAAAGGGTTATACCCTGATTGGCCTACCGCGGAGAGGCATCGCGGGAACTGACCTCGCCGCAACGTTTTTGCGGCATACGACCGAGGCCGAAATGAGACCTCAATTTTTTGTCTATTTTAGTAAGATAATTAAAGATGGGGAGAAGGGATTAAGGTCAGTAGGGGAGAAGGAAAAAACATAATATCCCTTAATTTCTTTATTTTTCACGACATTTAATTCACGGGGGAATACCCTTGTTATTTTATGTTCACGGCAATGAAATTAAAAACATAGAAAAAGATAAAAAATGGTAAAAGAGAAAAGAAACAAAAGGAATTCGGCCATTTATTTAAAATTTCTCGGAATTTAATTTTGGGGAACTTACAGTTAATTTACTATTTCCGACAATAGAATTAAGGAAAGGGAAGAATGATGAAAAACGATGAAAGGGACGGGAACCCATGACTATTGGGAGATCGGCCTAATTTCGCCTCGATTACCCGCCATCAGCTCTGACCCCGGATTGAACATCTTCCCCGGATCTTAACAGTTTTCACTACTGCCGATGGTCGAGGTTTCCTGCGTCGCTTTCCCTGGTTTGCTTGATTACTAACATTACCGCAGTTGGGATGTTCTGAGAGCGGGAGTCGCATGGACAACATGGGGTGGTGCTACCTTGGGTCGACTATGGTGTTTGGTTCGGTACGGATACGAGGGTTGTTACGGAGTGGCTACGTCCTACGGTGTCTGACGTGCTTCGGGTACGGTATGGGCTCTGTGACAGCTGTTTCACTACGGTGACTTATTTTAAGGTTTGGGACAGCTGCGGTGATTTATTCTCAGGACTGGGGCCATTACGACAGTTATTCCACATTTGGAACCTTGGCGGCAGTTTGTTTTCAGGTCCGGAATCGTTGCGGCATTCTATATTAGGTTCGGGACAGGTACGGAATTATCATGGCATGGTTGTACGGGTTCGATATCCGTGTGGCACAGCAGCCTGGTACTGGATTTCGGGTTTGGTCAGGTTTGGTGGCATCGCGGTGTTTCGTTTCAGGTTCGACGCCCTCGCGGTGATTTATTTCAGGTTCAGAACCTCTGCGGTGACTTATTTTCAGGTTCGGGCCTACTGTGACGATTTATTTCAGGTTCGGAACCTCTACGGTGATTTATTTACAGGTCTGGGACGACTGCGGTAGTTCATTTCAGATTCGAGACCTCGGCGGCAGTTCATTCCAGGTTCGGTACCATTATGGCAGCTTATATTCAGGTCCGGGATTATTGCGGCGGTTTACTTCAGGTTCGGTACTATTACCGCGCCGCTGCATCTTGCCGTGTTCGACATGTTTCAGGTACGGTATTGGTTCGGCATTGGCGTGGTACACGCCACTGCATCACTTTCAGGCTAGGTCTTGGATCGGCATCGGCACGATATGGGTTACAGCATCTCCAAGCGATTACTTCAGGCTCTGCTTTGGTGCGGTAACGATAGAGTGTGTTGCACGGTGACAACACAGACTGCTACAACTTACATCGATAATTCCCAGGTTTGGCATTATTATGGCGACGACACAGACCCTTACTGTTTGTAACAACTATATCTGGTGTAATTAGTGGGTTGGCACGTCTGTAGGCCTCTGAGGCTCGGTACAATCTCTCCAGGAACGGACACGGTGCATGTATAGTTCAGGACCTAGCTGGCGCAGTTATTTCCTTATTTCCTTGTGCGGTACTCCGTTGCAGTTTGGGACCGCTGGTGCGGCCAGGCCTTACGTGGAGACCATTGTGTCGGTGCTTGAGACTGCGAGTGCCTCCTGTCCGCTGAGGCCACAGTGAGGGCTGCAGACCACATATAGTGAAGCCAGTGAAGTGTCGGGGGCTATTGAGCAGTTGCGGAGACCAGGGGGACCAGGGCGAACTGGTGGGAGTAACGGCGCGACCAGGGAGAACAGGGCGCACAAGGGCGGGCGACCAGCGTGAACGTAGCTCGCTGGTGCTGCCATGGATGTGACAGCCATGGGTGTGCACCCATGAAGGAGAGACCAGAAAGGGAGATTCGGAGACTGAGGGACCGGAGGGAACGCAGAGGGAGGCAGTGTTTGGACCACGACCACAGAAGACCGTAGCGGGACGGATTGTACCCGTTTGCATGAGAAGGCGGGTTCCAGCCATGACGGACACGGCTGGTACAACAAACAGACCAAGACGGAGTGCATGTGCTGATGAGGATGGTGATCCCGCTGAAAGGAGAAACCGCTGGGCTACACTGCTGATGAGAACAGTGATCCCGCTGAGGGGAGAAACCGCTGGGCGACCCTGCTGATGAGAACAGTGATCCTGCTGAAGGGAGAAACCGCTGGGCTACACTGCTGATGAGAACAGTGATCCCGCTGATGGGAGAAACCGCTGGATTACACCGCTGATCTGAATAGTGATCCTGCTGAAGGGACGAACGGCCAGATTACGCTGTTGATGTGAATAGTGATCCCGCTGATGGGACGAACGGCTGGGTTACGCAGCTGATGTGAATAGCGATACCACTGATGGGAGGAATAACCGGATTACACTGCTGATGTGAACAGCTGGTCCGCTGAGGAAACGAACAGCCACATTTCACTGTTGATGGGATCTGCCATCCGTTGATGGAGGTGCTAGTTGTATCCTGTTGTTGATCAAATCTGCACCTAGTTGAATTTACTCACGCTTCTAAGTGGAGACCGGAAGTTCGATTGGGATTGCTTCAGCTATTCAGCGATGACCCGGAGACAAATTACGAAAATGCCCCTGGCTTCCAGAATAGCACGACGCTGCACCGCTCCCTCCTGATTGGAAAGAACAAGTACAGATTAGTCACCTTTCATTTTTATTTTTATTTTGTTTTCTCCCTTCCTCTTCTTTCTTTTCCCCGCTTATCTTTGAAATGCTTCAAGGCCGCTTGCCTGTTTGACCAACGGGGAATGCCCTACCAGTAATCAACCAGACACAGTAGGTATGTGGAGAGAGAGAGAGAGAGAGAGAGAGAGAGAGAGAGAGAGAGAGAGAGAGAGAGAGAGAGAGAGAGAAGGAGAGAACAGCAGAAAGCGCAGACTATTGAGGCTGTGATCAGCAGAGAGAGAGAGAGGGGGAATGACAACACAGCAGAGAGAGAGAGGGGGGGACAGACAACACAACAGAGAGTGAGAGGGAGTGTGTGTGTGTGTGTGTGTGAGAGAGAGAGAGAGAGAGAGAGAGAGAGAGAGAGAGAGAGAGAGAGAGAGAGAGAGAGAGAGAGAGAGAGGCTGCAGAGTAAGAAATCTCGTCACCACAATTGACCTATCTAAAAGCTATTTGCTGTAAGTTCTCAGAAAATGAGTAGAGTTTCGGTTGAAACTCAAGATGATGTATAACAAACGCTCGTGACTTGTAGCGTGAGCTTCCAAATGAAGATCGGGTTTCGCGCAGGTAAGGGGGCCTTGAAAACAAAGGTATTGACCGTTGGGATTTCGATTCCGGGAATGCCGCGACATCATAGCGCTCGATCCCACWTGTGCCACTTTGATAAAAAAGGGGGTCTTCTCCATTTCGAGTGAGGTTGAACGGTTGGATGGGGAGACTGGGAACATGTGGATTGAATGAGAACCCGAGGGTAGTATMTGGGAGAGAAGAGAAGGCGTGAAGATGACTATTGTAGTGGGCTCTCCCTGKAATACCTGGAACAGAGCCCGTGAGTTGACACACTGTTTACACTTGATTGGTGTGTTTGAAACTGAAYSTGCAGTTTGCARCTCACTMTTGATTGGTTCGCTTGGAACCAAGCYARCGGACTGGCTCGCTAATTACTCTCCCTGAAATTATTTATTTATTTATTTGTTTATTTATTTATTTATCTCAAGGATCACACTTTTATCATATGATTTCGAAGTAGATCTCGTTACTCAGCTTCCAGAGCGGCGAGAGAGACGGNGCAGGTAAGTGAGGGTGAAAAGAGAGTAAATGATAGTGCAGATCACTTCAGGCAGCAGCCTCTCATTGGCGGGTTAGGCAGCAGCCGCTCATTGGGGGGTCAGGCAGCAGCCTCTCATTCGCAGATCAGGTAGCGGCCTTTGATTAGGAGATCGGGTAACATCTACTCATTGGCTAATCAAATAGCAGCCACTCATTTGCTAGTCCTGCACTCTCTTCCCATTGGCCTATCAGGCAATGGCCACTCATTGGTTGATCAGGGACTCTCTACTCATTGGGAGATCATTTGCATAGTGCATTCGCAGCAGGCATTTCAACCCCCCCACTCCCCTGCTGGTCGCTGAGGACCTCGGAAGCGGGCACAGCGAGTGAGAGGCGCTGTTGCCCTTGGCTTCAGCGAGCGGCAGGCGACCCCTCC